CTTTTGTTGATAATTGCACTAAATTCTGCTATGTGTACTTGCTTAAAAGCAAAGACGAGGCGATTGATAAATTTATTCTTTTTAATAATGAAGTTGAGAATCAACTAAACCGAAAGATCAAAGGTTTAAGAAGTGATTGAGGTGGAAAATATGAATCGCCGTTTGTTGAGATTTGTGCTCAATCTGGAATTATCCACTAAACTACAGCGCCTTATTCCCCTCAGTCCAATGGTGTTGCTGAGCAAAAAAATAGGACATTGAAGGAAATGATAAATGCAATGTTAAACTCTGGGTTGCCATAGGACTTGTGGGGGAGAAGCAATTTCTCCATGAATTACATTCTAAATAGAATACCTTGGAAGAAAGTAGACAAAACTCCGTATGAATTGTGGAAAGGTCGCAAACCTTCTTATAATTTCCTACAAATGTGGGGGTGTCTTGCAAAAGTGGCGATACCCACACCCAAGCGGGTTAGGATAGGTCTGAAAACAATGGATCGCATATTCATTGGTTATACACAGAATAGTAGTGCATATAGGTTTCTTGTGCACAAGTCTGATATTTCAGATATACACAAGAATACCATTATGGAGTCAAGGAATGCGTCCTCTTTCAAGGACGTGTTTCCTTGCCGAACCCGAGGTGAGGATGAAAGTTCTAAAAAGGAACTTAAAAATGATCCTAGTGATAGTGATCAAGATGAAGAAATAGATGAGCCAAGAAGGTGTAAGAGGGCAAGGACTTCACCGAACTTCTTAACTTATAAGTTAGAAGGAGAATCTCGAACTTTTCATGAAGCTGCAATTTCACTTGAAAGTCCTTTATAGAAAGAAGCGATTAAAAGTAAAATTGACTCCATCTTATAGAATCATACCTGGGAGTTGGTTGATCTACCCCCAAGCAGTAAGGCCTTGGGGAGCAAGTGGATTTTTAGAAGAAAGATGAAGTCTAATGGGTCAATTGATAAATATAAAACTAAGCTAGTTATCAAAGGATACAAGCAACGAGCTTGGATTACTTTGATACGTATTCACCTGTGACAAGGATTATATCCATACGCATGGTGATTATGATAACACGTTTACATGGTCTGGAGATACATCAAATGGATGTAAAGAAAATTTTCTTAAATGAAGATTTAAATGAAGAAATCTACATGGAGCAACCCGAGGGGTTTTCAGCTCCAGGCCAAAATAAGAAAGTCTATAAGCTTGTCAAGTCATTGTACGGTTTAAAGCAAGCTTTTACATAATGACATGAGAAGTTTAACAACGCTATGTTGTCAAATGGGTTTAGGATCAATGAGTATGGCAAATGCGTATATGTCAAAGACACTGACAAAGGTTATGTCATTTTGTGTCTATACATTGATGACATATTCATTATTGGTCGTATTGATGAGATGATTAAAACTACCAAAAGATTGTTAAACTCTAAGTTTGACATGAAAGATATGGGTCTTACAGATGTGATTCTGGGTATTAAGATTACCAGGACATCTTGTGGTATTGTACTTTTTCAATCTCACTATGTTAAGAAGATACTTGCGAAATTAGGTAAATCAGACACGAGTGTGTCTAAGACACCAGTAGACTTGAGTCTACATTTGACCAAGAATAATAATGAGAGTGTTTGTCAGCTAGAATATTCTCGGGTCATTAGAAGTTTAATGTATCTAATGAGTTGTACAAGGCCGGATATAGCCTACTCTGTTAGCAGGCTTAGTAGATACACGAGTAATCCTAATGCTACTCAGTGGAATGGCATTATATGGCGTGATAGGTTATCTACGCTACACTCGAGATTATGGCTGCATTATACCAAATACCCAGCGGTACTAGAAAGGTATAGTGACGCTAATTAGATATCTGATATAAAGGACTCCAAATCTACTAGTGATTTTGTGTTTACCCTTGGAGGGGGCAGCCGTGTCTTGGAAATCTTCCAAACAGACATGTATATCGAGATTAACGATGGAATCTGAGTTTATTACTTTAGATAAAGCAACTGAAGAAGCTGAATGACTTTGCCAATTTGTTGAAGATATTCCACGTTGACCAAAACCTGTGCCTGCTATTTGTATTCATTGTGATAGCTAATCAGCGATTGAACGGACATAGAGTAATATGTATAATGAAAAGTCTAGACATATCCATCGTAGACATAATTCCACACGACAACTACTCTCTAATGGAGTTGTCTCTCCAGACTATGTAAAGTCTAAGGACAACATTGCGGATCCGCTAACTAAAAGGTTAACTCGAGAGTTAGTAGAAACGTTATCAAGGGGAATGGAATTAAGGCCTTTAGTTAATGTTACCGGAACGGAAAACCTAACCTAGCTAACTAGAGATCCCAAGATCTAGATTCAAAGGGATAACCTAATTGTGTGTAACAGATGAGTCACTGAAGAGGTAAATCCTCTTGCCCATTCCTTTATATAGTAATTCCCTGTGAGGGTGGAAGGATAAGCTAATGCTTTTAATGACCTAAGTGATGTGAGTAATCAATCGTGGTGTAGTGAGATACCTTATGTAGGTCACCTATGTGAGTGCAAAGTGAGGCCGCTTCTTTAAGAATTGACAAGGCCAATTCTTTAAAAACACTCACTGAACCAGGCTAGTGTTCTAGGGCCATACCAGACACGCCAGTGAGAACAAGAACAATGGTTGGAGTAACTCCTATGTGAGGTCTATTGTCTTGGTTTACACAAATGACAGAACAGTTCAAGACATCACGTTCACTAGTCAGCCAGTAAATCCGATAGGCATTCACCACGAAAGGTTTAAGGCAAACAGCTACCTTTTCTGATGCAAGGTTAGTCTGTGTGCTCTTTCTCCGAGTCTTTGTTGTTAAACGTTACCCATTATTCTTTATTCGGTCAATTTTTATTCATGTGGGGGATTATTGGAAAATATGATTTTTTGGTTTGAGGATTGAATGAAAATTTGTTTCATTAAGTTGGTCTAATGAATGAGAGATTGAGAATGATGATTGTGCATATAACATGTGGTGTGGATGTGTGGATGAATGGCCTAATGCTGGAAACCATGTGGTACACATGATGTGGCCTAATGTTGGAAACCATGTGGCACGCATGGCCTAACCATGACAGACACATGGTTTTGGAAGCCATGAGGTACACATGGCCTTACCATATATCTTGCCAAAGATGCCTATATAAGGGCATGCTCAACATTGTGAAAATGATCACAAAATAAGCTAAGTTCTCTCCTACTCTTTTCCCCATTGTGTGTAAAAGGAAACCATCCTCTTTAGTTGAAGTACAAAAATTTTTGCTCTCATATTATAGTCAATCTGCTCCTATAATATATTCTTCCTGTGTGTGAGAGAGTGCTACCATTGTCTGTTTGCCAGAGCTAAGCAGAAGGTGTTTCTGCGTTAGCGGGTTCTAAACCGTCGTATCTTGAGAGACAGACGCTGGCATACCTCCAACACCCACGGTGAGGTGGCAAATCTATTTTAAGGAGACTGTGGTATCACATAGGCTTCCATTTGTTTTCTTTACTATCTCATTTAAGTATTTGATTTTGTTAAATATTTTTGTTTATCAAGTTGTAGTCTCTAGCATGATTTAGATTCATGATTTCTTGTTATGTAATATAAATTTAATTAATTATGAATCTGTTTATTTTATTTAATTTACACAATTTGTACAACACTGTTAAGTCACGCAACCTCCAATTCCTTAAGCGCCTTCTGCAAAAACTCCCTCAATTCATCCAAAGTCGGCCCCTTCTTCTCTTCTCCTTCCCCAACTTCTTCCCCCAAACCATTATTCAACCCCAGATTGATTAATTCTTCATTATGGCTTTCAACAAATTCTACATTTCAAGCATTACATCAATGTCAGCTATTGAATCGTTGCCCTGACACCGCAACCTAACTACTCCCCTTGATGTCTTAAAGACATTTACAAAGTTACAAATCAAAGACCTACATGAATTATAACCCCACAGATTGTTATCAAAATCTCTTTTACCAAGTACACTTGAATGGACACTACTGTTAGTGCTAGACACAGTTATTTTCTTGACCTTATTTTTCAGGTATGATTTTTACATCCCCTAATTATCCTTCTTCATTTTTCAATATATCTATACTATTCTTCTCTCCCATTCTGTAACTATTCGTAGATTATTTGTAATGGCCTGTATATCCATACTACATATTTCAAGCACACTCATGTCAGTGTGCACACCTACAAATATATATATATATATGGATTACGATCCTCTCCATTTCATAGTTGTAATGGACGATGTCCATTACTTAATAAACTGCATCAAACAATAGCTCTGTGAGGCTTCACCACTAACAAAATGAAAGTGAACTATGTCCTGCAACATCATACCATATAATTCTGCTATTTCAATTTCAACACATCTCAATATTCTCAAAATAAAGCATATTTCAACACATCTCAATATTTATTGAAGTTCTTATATTTCCTCCAAAAAAAATATATATTCGTCATTTCTATTGTATTGGTCATGTACAGTTTAGTCATACATAGAGAAAATATGCGACAATTCATGTCATATCCAGTAGTTCTAAAAACCCAGAAAAGTGCCCAGAATTTGTAATCAAAGACTAGGATTTACTCATATTGTGGCCCCGCAATAACAAGGTCAAAATATACACCAATGATTACAAAATCTGAGTCAGAAATTTTGGTTTGGTTTGCTAGACATTTTGTTTCACATGCCAAGATTTGAATTAGGAAACACGGAAGGTATTGTCATGTGTTTGAAACTAGTTATCAATCTTTGAACAGGGGAGGTGGGTTGTCATGTGTTTGACGCTAATGAATTCCAAGGTCATATCTCTTATCAAAGTAATACTTGACGTTACCAAGATGTCCAACTGGGCAATTGAGCATGCCAGGAAAATCAGGGACTAAACATCCATACAAAAGCAGAGTGCCCTGAGGCTTCAATGAATGAATCCATGTTGAACAAAGTCATTCGAAAGCTAACCTGGTTACTCGAATCAACCCCCCACACAAAACACCCAGCCTGCAAGAAACAGAGCAATATATATATATGTGAATATTAACATCCGAGTTAAAACTTATTCGGTCATTTTGTATCAAAATTCTATAAAGTTACCCGACATGTAATCTAAAGTCATTCCAAAAATAGCAATACAATACAAGGTAGAGGAGAGACTGAACTTTGATGATTTTCTTAAGTCTTTTGTAAGGATAAGGTCTTCAGATCCTGATCTGAATGGCAAAACTTCTGCATCAGTTACAATCACATCGACTGCAAGGCCACACTAATGTTGTAAATTCCAAGAAAAAGAAAAAAATAACTTCCTAAAATAAGTATATAAAAAAGTGTAATGCTATACAAGCAGAATTTATGTATTTTTTGAAGGAAAAAAAATGTTAATGCACTAGATGGGTTTTGTGTGTAAATGAACCATTGGTCGCCCAAGTGTGAATGTGTGGCTCTTAGGGTTGTTGGGGCATGGGCGCTCCACGGGCATAGTAATTTTCGAACAAAACAAGGAAACTTCTCACATTAAGTTTCAAAAAGTTTAAAAGCAAACCAAACAAACTCAATGTGCCCATAGCACAACACCTATCAGTGTTTCTTCTTTTAATCTCTTGAAACCAAAACATCGATCAAATCGCTGCATGTAAATAGATAATTACCTACAAGCGTCGCAAACTCCCTTATGTACCTCAAAATCTGCCTAAACTCTTTTGATGGTATCCCCAAAATGACTTGATATTCATATTCTGATTCATTGATGTCCAAATAATTGTAAGGGTTACCAGGAGTGCGAGGTTCGTCGAACAAAAGAGGCCTCCTTTGATCAGACACTGAACTGCAGTCAAGTTTGAAACATAAGCAATTTCAAGAAGATCAATCATTGAATTTAAATCTAAACATTTTCCAAAAATAAGCCTGTGGGATATTGCAAAAATTTTAAAACTCAAAGTAAAACAACATCTTCCTGTTCGTCTTTCTGTAATTGAATTTGTAGTCACAAAAAAAAATTAAAATTAATTAAAATAAAGATTTTGTGAACTTCTATGGGTTTTCCTAAACTTTTTGAGAAATCAATCCAATTTAACATAAACAGAAATTTTCATAGTTTAACAGATTTCCAAGAACCAATTTGAAACCAACCGTTAACCATCACATAATTGAACATAAATATGGCTTCACGTGTGTGTGTATATATATATAATAAACACATCACATTATGGTTATGAAATGAAACAAGAAAATGGACTATAAATCTTATCCAATGGTAAGGGGATTTTCAAGAATGAATTCGAGCAAACATAGGCAACCATGTGTCTATACACATATCTATACATATCTATTCTATTATATAAAGCAAGCATACACCTTATTTCCTATAAATATTGTCACAATTTTTTTTCACTTTTTTTTTTCCTCGAAGAATACCTTCTACATTGAAATAAGTGCTAAACAACTTTTCTTTTTTGATTGGCACCGGGTGTCCTAATCAAAGCCCGACTAATCCCCAGAGATGCACAGCCCTCAGCAAGGAGTTTTCCACAAGTGCATGATTAATTCAAGAGTTTTCCCCATCCGATAACCCCAAGGAATTGTTAGCACCTACGAAGTTTCAATCTCTAAATCTTGGAGGGAGCACACCCCCAAGACCCAATACCTTGTCACCAGGCCAACCCTTGGGGTTTAAGTGCTAAACAATTTTTCTCATTCATAAAACTATCCAAAATTGTTAAACAATATTTTTTTTTCCACCCAATATTCAAACCACCAAAAAAATTTTAAAACACAAAATTACAAACGCATTGCATTTGCACCAACTACATATATATGTGTGCACATGAAGTCAGAATTCTTGAAGGAGAAACTGAGTATTATAACTGATATTCAAGAATCGCTTCATAAAAAATAAGTAATTCAAGAATCAATTAATAAAAAATACGTAATTGAACATAACACATGAAAATCGAACGCATCACACATGAGTCACATGAATTAGGGTTTTGGGACGAAGAACAGAGCAGAGCGTACCGAACTGAGCGTTGTGATGAGTATTGTTGAAGAAGTTGAAATAGATGAGACTTGTGTCATGAGAATAATTGGCGGAGACAATGAGGGATTCTAGATCATTGGTAGTGGAGAGTAGAGAGCTGAGAAAAGAGAGATCGAGCGATTCAATGCAGTTCTAATTGCAGCGAAATCTATGGAAACTTGAAGAATTGATTTAAAGAAGTGCCATAAACATTCCAGAAACCGATGGAGGCTCTCATTGATATCTGCAAGAGCGGCGACACCGCTTTCTTCAGTAGGATAGACTATTTATTAATAAAATAGACTATTTATTATAAAATTATAAACGTTAGAGTTGTACTTATAATTTATCCAAAAATTAAATTAAAGACCCACACAACTTTTCCAACAACAAAAATATATGTATATACTATTTTTTTAACATTTATCCAACATATCATCAGTTTTTTTTAGCAAACAAATTTATCTTAAAAACTAAAGAGTAACAAAAATAATGATAAAAATATAATTACCAAATCAACCCTGGTTTATTTCAATTGAAAATATTTTTTAAAAATATTTTTCACAAATGTTATTTATTTATTATTGTTATTATTATTATTATTTTGTATTTGTTTGCATTGCTAAAACTAATTTGACAATAGTTGTGCTAGTAGTGTGCGGTGACAGTGGTGATATAAGTAGTAGAGGCTGTTAAGTTCTTTGTGTTGGCAATTTCGCAAACAAACACGTTTGGGCTGTATTGTTGAGCCTTGTTTTGTTCTTAAATTGGTCGAGCGGTTTATTATTGTTAATTGTTTTTTTAGACAAGGTCAGTCAGAGCATTTTCAATATTTTCTAATTGAGCCAACCTTGTCTCCACTTGTTGTAGAATGGTAAATTAGGACTAGTTCTAAGTGATAGATTGAGGAGATGTTTGGGAATTAAATATAAAAAATCACTACAAGTTAAATTATTCTTTTTATTTTTTTCATGTCTTTTCATGAGAAAGTAATATATATATATATATATATATATTAAAAAGGCCAATTCTCAAACAAGTCCTTAATTATTTATAAATTCTCTATAATTTTTGAATGTATCAATAAATTCTAAAATACTTTGTCTCAATATTTTTTGCAAATATTAATAAATGAAAAAAAAAAGAGTAATAAATAATAAGTCTGACCAATAGAATCGGCTCGTAAATCTTCCCTTGTTAGAATGCCCGAATTAGACGTCCAGTCTGAGTATCAGATTCTCATCACATTGACTTTTTTAAAATTTTTGTTTTTATTATTTTTTTTAGAAAATTAATTTTTAAAATTTTTCCAGCTATTTATAAATTGTGAATTTTTTTTAGGATCTATAATATTAAGATTTTATAGTATAAAGGACATCTAATATTTTCATAATGACTAATATTTTCTTCTTACTCTCTAGAGAAATTCTCTCTGGACTTCCCCGAGAAATTCTACAAATTTCTTCCTAGAGAATTTATTCCTAGATAAAGAATATCAGCATTAGCAAGAGAAAGAACCTCAAACTAGTTACTATTTTTTCAAAAAAAAAGTTCAAAAAATGAACCAAACATCTTTGTTCACAAATTTCTCTGTGTTTGTTCACAATTTTAAACTAGAGAAAATTGTTTTAACCAAATCAAAGAAATTTTAGCACAATAATTTTAAACCAAAGAAAATTGTTTTAACCAAATCAGAGAAATTTTAGCACAAATTTCTCTGTGTTTGTTCACAATTTTAAACTAAAGAAAATTATTGAGAAATCTTCACCAAACCAGAGAAATTTTAGTAAAAAATTTCTCTGTATTTGTTCACAATTTAAACCAGAGAAAATTGTTTTAACCAAACCA